GGTCGGTATAACGCGGTACTTGACTCGACTTTGGGACCTTGACTTGACTTGGTTCTTGGTTGGCTGAAGGCCTGAGCTCAGAGATCCGCTCTGTTTCGCTCCTGATCGGACTCTGCCCTTGCAGAGTCTTTGTAAAAATGCTCAAGACTTAAAATTGCAGAGCAAGCAGTCTCACGGTCCCGAAACACTAAGACAATTAAGTGTCATCATTGACACACAACTAGAACAGTCAAACAGCTTCTTTACCGAGAAGCTGGACTCAGATGGCACCGTGAGAGTGCTGAGCTCTGCTCCTGCACGATGAGAAAGAAATCATATTTCTTTTCTCATCGTCCCACATTATAAATTTAATGTAACGTATTATTCATAATACGTCACATTGTATTCAACAAATAACCGACGTATTAATGACAATACGTCACACTCCCCTAATTAAACTATTGTTACCCTAGACAACATCTAGGTCACAATAGTAAGCAAATCAAAAGACATCACATATGTCTGTGCCTTATGGGCCTCACCTTATGCCTGAAGGGCTATCAAGACCCCTGCTATATGAGCGTTAAACCCATGCCTTAGCGGCAAGAATAATTCAAACTATATAAAGCTTGCTTATAGTCAATTTAAAATGCAATTAAGTTGCATGACCTTAAATACTTTCAAACAAAAATCGTATCAGCAAAGGTACATAAATGTTAGCTCGACAGAAAAACCTAATCGACCGAACCCTTACAAAAATTCACTTTCATACATGAAGTTTCAAATCCTTGGGTCTTACATTAGGTGACAAATTATTTTGTATTTCCTATGGTGATCATATTTTCACAGGATACAAAACTATTTTTCTATTGTCGCTTTGACATTTTCCCCTTTCATCACGATGAAGGACATCAAAAATTTATTTGAGCTCTACACAGCTCTGTATTTTTTTGAAATTTCTGTTTCAAAATTGCAGTGTGAGAATATGGGGGAAAAAGGAAGGAATGACGTATCTGTATTGCCTCCACATTTTGTTTTTCAATGAATTTCATCTCTATGATTGTTTGAGGGAAAGAACCTAACGAGTATGGATATGTTCTTTGCAAAATCATTCTACGATGACATCAATGATTTTTTTTTCTTCTTCACGAGGAATGCCTCATGATCATTACTTTGATATAGCATTTCTCCTCCATAAATCCAAAAATTACTCTTCTTGAAGTTCGGATATTTACGTCGAGTGATGAATAAATTCGGTCCACATTAAAAAATTCATAGATATCACGTTTTTATGAGTTGAATCCCATTTTTATTGGATAAGTCTCTCTTCTAACTTTTAGATATTTTTTGGGGTCCGTGCCTTCGAACCTCATCCCGTGATATCAATGCATAATTCAATTATTTTCCCAATTTTTCTCGAAGTCTCGAATTTTCCGTATCATTAACTATTTTCTAAATTTTCTGTTCTTTTTGAAATTTGTTTGTTTTTTTTCTATTTGCAAAAAATTTTTTTTTTTTCAAGTCTCTAGCTGAAGCTTTTCTGAAGACAATCATTTATAATTTTCTTTCTTACCAGAAGGGATGTAACCGGTCGACAATTTTTTTCATACTTATCTCTCTCCGAGAGTACCCCTCCCACGCTAGATATGAAATTAATCTCCTGATTAATCGGCAGCAAGGATGTCTGGGTCTTGAGACTCGTAATTTCTCCAAATCCCTTGTTGTTGCGCTCCCTCTTGCCAAGCTTGGCAGAAGAGACCTGAGAGAGATCTCTCAGCTGTTATTGGCTGCTTATCTGTCAGCTGATGACAATAACCCGTCCAGATCAAGTAGCTGGGCCTTATCTCCCGACCACCTCGATTCAACGCTGCCCTGGGTCGTTCGTCCGCGTCACTCCACAGGAATGATATACCCTTATCCAGTTTGTATTGAAAATCAGGTGAGTCATCCAGTCCAGTCATAGCTTCGGTGGCACTCAAATCAGCTGTTGGTAATGACCCTCCCGGATCAAATGACTGATAACTTGTCACCCCGGAGTCTTCACTCATTACGATTCGGGGCATCATCCTTTCCCCAGAATCAAATTTCAGTGACTCTTCAAGCCCATTTCGAAATTGCACAGTTCCACATGTAAAGTTTATTTTCACGGGATTAGTGTCTCTGTCTTTAGACTTGCTTGCCACTGGTTTTTCACTGGCAATTATCACGTTTCTATTCTCAATTACAGTGTTGTTCACCATCATATCCGGACTTGCTGAATTTCCCCCGATTATCGCACTCCACTCGGAAACTTTATCAATGCCTTGAGATCCCTGTGACGATGGATCCCCTGGATCAAATTGCCAGGACCTTGTCTCATCATAATCTAGTTGTGTCAGTTGTCCACGGTCATTCTGTGCTGAAGGTACCCCTCCTTCACTTATCCCGAAAACGTTGGTTCCGATGATCGGTAGTGATGGAGCTTCTTCACTCAGTTTATGGTCTGAGTCAGGTGGGACATGATGATCAGCTGTCGCCTCAGTCGCTAGGATATCAGCTGATACTCGCATTCCTCCCGGGTCGAGTAACCGAGGTTTTGTCTCCCAGCCTTTGCTCACGATGGTTCGAGGAGCTACATATACTGTAGAGTACAGATGGAATGGATATCCGAGTTCATTTGGAAATTCCATATTTTCCGTTTCGAGATTCACTTTCAACGAACTTGTCATTGGGCTTGTCACTTTTTTTTCGTCGCACTCGAAGATACCTGTATTATTTAGAGGTCTCGATCTGTCGTTACAACCCGATTTGAATGCAAGCCTCACATGTAAATTATCGGTTTCAGATGTCTCAATAAATTCCCCTTCGGAATTGTTCTGAATTTTCATTTCTTCAGACGAGGTGTATGTCTTTTTACTTTCTCTGTCTGTACGGAATAGCGCAGGCCCATGAGCGTAGATGTCTGAGTATTTCGCAACCATGTCCTCTGCAATTTCATCGTATTTTGATGTTTGTGGCGCAGATTCCTCGACAGTCTTCTTTGCAAATCGTTGCCAGTGTGGCCCATATATCTGATCCGAATCAGTTGTGCCAGCCCACTTCCATATTCCGAGTAGAGGGTTGACCCTGGCAAGTTGTCCAATTATTGTCCCGGGGTCCCAAATTTCGCTGTTTTTTGTAGCTGCTTCTGCGTGTCCTGGAGCTCTTGCAATGCATGGCGTGGAAGCCATGCGATACTTTTCCGAGGTACTCAACTTGGTCGATGTCCTGCTCCAACCTCCTTGGAGCTGCTGTTCATCCCTCATGACCGTTGAGGAGAAGTACGGTGAAGTCCGTCTCTTATAACTGGCTGAAGCATTCATTTTCATGGCAATATTTATGAATCGTGAATAATAATGGGACCTGCACTCTTCAGATCCCTATGGTGACATCCTCTCGTCGATGGAAGATCTCTGTCGTTTCTCGGGTTCAGCAGCTGCCCATCAGCTGCAGACTAGATCTAGCTGTACCTTGCTGATCTAGCACGCTGTGTTTCTGGAGCCCTCTTCAAAATGACGACCCTCAACGTACCAGAAAAAAAAATGTAACTGCACGACTTCAACACACAAAATTCACGAGTGTCACATCAATCCACGGCAATGTCTACTTCATCAGTTTTCAGATTTAAAACTTCGTTGCGCACTGTACCGAACCCACGTAATTTCTTCGTATAATCCTTCAGTTCTGGAATCATCACATAATTTTCACTTTTAATCCTTTGAGTCACTGTAATCCTTGTTTTTGCACTCGCTTCCCCGAATGAGTGCCCAAAAACACGTCGGGCGCCAATGTGACGAAATGAGTTAATTTGTTCGTTTTTAACTCATGTTCACCTCCGACCTCGGCTAGTCTCGGTGAGCTCACGGGTGGTTCGCTCAATCGGAGGGATAAGTGAAGGATAGAGGGAGGGTTAACGATATTAAACCGACCGTACTAATGTGGGTAAAATAATTATATATTAACTTCCTTTTATACACGGTAGTGTTTAATGGGTCGGTATAACGCGGTACTTGACTCGACTTTGGGACCTTGACTTGACTTGGTTCTTGGTTGGCTGAAGGCCTGAGCTCAGAGATCCGCTCTGTTTCGCTCCTGATCGGACTCTGCCCTTGCAGAGTCTTTGTAAAAATGCTCAAGACTTAAAATTGCAGAGCAAGCAGTCTCACGGTCCCGAAACACTAAGACAATTAAGTGTCATCATTGACACACAACTAGAACAGTCAAACAGCTTCTTTACCGAGAAGCTGGACTCAGATGGCACCGTGAGAGTGCTGAGCTCTGCTCCTGCACGATGAGAAAGAAATCATATTTCTTTTCTCATCGTCCCACATTATAAATTTAATGTAACGTATTATTCATAATTCGTCACATTGTATTCAACAAATAACCGACGTATTAATGACAATACGTCACACTCAAACTCCAACAAATACCTGTAAACTCTAATAAGCGTAAACCAAATAGGTAGGAATCTTAAATAAAACGAAATGTAATTACAACATTGAAATATGTAAAAACCAAAAATGAACAATAAATATACTTTTGAACTAAAAAAAACGCCTGGGCCATTTAGCCTCGAGCAGCAGCAGAACAGGGAGCGGAGTAGCAGAGTAGCAGAACCAGAATTCGAAAGCAAGAAAAGAGAAGACGAAAGAGGAGGAAGGGAGCACTCTACGAGAGGAATCTTTAGCTTTAAACCATCGATAGTCGTTGATTGGAAAACTCAATTTTGTCTTCGAGATTTAACTCTAGTCTTCAGGAAAATCTCAGTTCTCGTTGTAACCAAGAAACTCAATTCCGCTGACTAATAAGGAAAACTCAATTTACGCTTTTAAGCATCGCCGATAGATGGCGCGGCTGCATAAGCATTTTTTCGCCGAAACGAAACCATAGACGTATTTACGTCAAAAAAAATTAATGAGTGAGATGTTCAGTGCCACATGCTCGCTGCCCCTTGCTTGTTTTTAATAATATGACTGAAATGAATTTAATTGATTACTGACCTGTCCGAGATCACCACCCATCTGCATAGAAATAATGCGAAGATGATCCTCCTCATTGCACCAAACAAGAAATGTTTTGGCATCATTGTGAAAAATACCACGGCCAGTCGGCCAGAAGCGACAGGCGTTGGCCGCTTGAAGGAAACGATCACCTTCCTTGAATAGGAAGTGATCATCAATAAGCTTTTGCTGAACTTCTTTGCTCATGCCCGTGAGTGGATAGAATGTACCCTTGAGTTCATTCTCGAGACCAGACAGAGTGCTAGAGACCTTATCTTCCATCTCCTTGTACTGGGCCTCAGTTAAGCAAGGATTGAAGGGATAGCCGTCCAAGGAGCGACCACACCTTACGCGAGTTGATACGATATACTCGCCCTGTAATTAAATCATTGAAATTAATTAGAAAACAAATCAACCAATCACCGAATATTAATATTCATCTTGACTGTTTGATCAATGAGAAGGTAGTAATTCGGCTACGCAGTGCTCCATTTTGTCCTCCATAAGTCCGTGACCCGACTAGATGTGCCAATAACAACCTTTTCAGTGGACGAACATTCTGATGAATTATTAAAAATATTTGGTCTGAAACATCAATATAATAATTGATTTTTAAAATTACTCCATATCTATTTCATATTGCAACCATTTGACATTAATGCATTAATTTCGTTTGAGAATTCTTTTTTTATGACTAGCTTAAAATCCGATGGAGATAGAAGAATTATTATCGATTTTTTTGCCCAGGAAATTGAGCCACGTAGAATAGATCTACAAAAAGCGTTACAAGGCTCTTTTATATTATAAGATATTTACCAATTATGTTCCTACACTGGAATTGACTAATTGATTTTTAAATTTTATTACTGTTGAAAATTACAAAAGAATTTCCTTAACTGATATTTATCCATAAATTTCAACTACTGAATCAATTAAGAATGAAAACAAATATCCAATTATGTTCAATCGCTATTCGCTAGATGAATATCTATATTATAAAACAACTTTTTTCTTTAAACAGATAATAGCTTACCGTTGGATCAAGATTGCCAAGCGTATCAACATCACCGAAGTCCTTGGGTGGATGCTTATCAGTCTTTTTAAATCCACCATGATACTCCTCAATCATTGGATCAAAGATATCAGCGAAAACATTGTAAGCCTCAGCGTCTGGAGCATAAATGCCAAATCCAGAATCGAGATTCTCAACACCAGATTGAATGCAATCAAGAAGAGTGGATCCAAACGAAGTTTTCTTCGTTTTTAGGGCATCAAAAATTTCCTTGGAAAGATGCTTCTTCAAGAGAGACTTGCTATCAGATGCAGCGAGCTTAGTGTAACCAGCCTCGAGCTTGTCCAACACTGCTTGGTCAACCATTGTATTCTTCTTACTGCAATTACAGGGTAAACGTACTTCATACATTTCTAGTAGGTTCTTTCTCCTTAATTACTATAATTAACTATTCAACCGACTATTTATCTTTGGCAGTTATTCATGTTATTAGACGAGAACAATTGAATCCTTCTCGGCGTGCTCGCTCGATTACAATTATAAAAAGTGTCTCATTCGAAGGCATCACTGAGTAGAGCCGCTACTATCCGCGAGGCGCCACCACAGCTTTTAACCATAGACATATAAAACCTAGACCGCCCGTCAGGGTTGCCAGATACTTGGAGAGCCGAACCGCCAATACGTGGTGCTGGTATAGCCCCCTCCTAAATTTTCCCCGCCCACTTCAAACAGGAAAATTTGAAAAACTTATATGTGAAAAATCCAATATAACACAAATAAAAAAAATTATAGCAGATTAAACTCTTTATTCTTCAATCTTTCATACAAACTATATTAACATTGCTAGCAATATTTTTCAGGGTTCAATTTCACAAGGGTTACACGGATTCAATTTAAGGAAAGTCAAGCATCTCAAGAGTCTAATTTTACGAGGGTCATGAGGGTTCAGTTCAACTAGGGTCTAGCGTCTGAAGGCTTCAATTCCATGAGGATCAAATGTCTCAGGTGTAGATAGTTACGAGGGTTCAATTTAAGGATATATTACACATCCCTTTTCGCCAAAATTCACGTTTTTTGAATTTTTCTGGGAAATTGTTGATCGGATTGACGTGAAAAAACATACCGTTTTTGCGTTTTATCATTACTTAATGACTCACGAAACTTCATGATCGTGCAATCATTTTCCTGCATTTTTTCTAAAACTTTTCGGAAATTCACAAAACTTTAGAAAAATGCAGGAAAATGATTACACTACCATGAAACTTCGTGAGTCAGTCAATGATAATAAAAAGCTAAAACGGTATATTATTTCGCGTCAATCCGATCAATAATTTGCCAGAAAAATGAAAAAAAAGTGAATTTTGGCCGAAAGGGTGTAGTAGATCCTTAACGAGGGCCACGCGTATCAAGGGGGTAAAAAAATCATGCCGCCAGCATATAGCCTACTTAGCGGGTTATAGCCCGGAGCCAAAATTTGCCCGCCAAATACATTCCAAATACCCAAGCAGCACAGTTCTGGAGGGTATCTGCAAGTATACCAAAAAGGCTGTCTAATGTCTGTCCAAAAAGGTAACTTGTGTCTAGAAGTTACCTAGAAGTTAACTAAAAGTTATCGTATGACTGCAAGATACCTTTTGGACGGACATTAGTCAGCCCTTTTGGTATTCTTTCAGATATCTTTCGCAAGGTTTGCTACTTGGGAGGTAGCGAGGTAGCCCAGAAAATGATACAAATGAAAATATTCAAGTATAAAAAATAGTCATGTTTTCTATTTATTCATGGAATATGAACGCTAGCACGACCTCCCCCCCATGCGAGTACGATTGTCGAATGTAAAAAATCCCTTAGGGAAATCAATTTGATACGAGCTTAAGGGAAGACCCAAGTGAAATTTGAAACTCTTCGATTGATGGAAATAACCAAAGAGGATAGACCTGAGTAGAGGCCCGGATCGGGGGGTTTGACTGACTCCAAAAAAGTTGGTTAGTACCCCACGGCAAAGGTGGCGTTCCGGTCGAATTGTCGGTAAATGTGAGTTTTGGTTCGTGAGTAACTCGGCAGTAGCCGCCCGCTGTCACAGGGACAGTTCGGAGGGGGACTTTTGTCCTCCTTGTACTCAATGTTTACTTCATGTTTTTCAGTTGATTTATTCGCCGACTAATTAATATTAAGGGATGGAACAAAGACTGTTCAATGGAGAATTAAATTCCCCATCCATCAACCCCCGTTTCATCCCTTAATCTCTGCAATAAAAAAATTAATATTGCGACGAAAGTCACGGCGCTATAAGAAACCCAATTTTTTCTCGGCGCAGTGATTCCCGACAACTCGCCCGCTAATTAAACAATCGTATCTCCGCTCCTAATTAACATTAAGGAATAAAATGGGGGTTGAAGGATGGGGAATTTAATTCTCCATCGNTTTTTCTCGGCGCAGTGATTCCCGACAACTCGCCCGCTAATTAAACAATCGTATCTCCGCTCCTAATTAACATTAAGGAATAAAATGGGGGTTGAAGGATGGGGAATTTAATTCTCCATCGAACAGTCTTTGTTTCACTCCTTAATATTAATCAGTCGGCGAATAAATCAACTGAAAAACATGAAGTAAACATTGAGTAGAAGGAGGACAAAAGTCCCCCACCGAACTTGTCCCTGTGACAGCGGGCGGCTCAAAGAGGATTGACTAAAGTAGAGGCTCAGATCTCGGGGTTGGACTGACCCCAAGCCAAAAGTAGTTCGACCCCAACGGAGGGATGCCGCCACGGTCGAAACTGACGGCTGGGCGAACTGCCTGTGCGGGTAACTCGGCGGTAGCAGTCCCGCTGTCATAGGGATAGTTTCGGAGGGGAATTTATATCCTCCTCGTCCTCAACATGTTCTTAATGTTTTTCAGGTGATTCATTTGCCTGCTAATTAATATTAAGGAATGAAACACAGAGGGTGTGACGGAGAATTAAATTCCCCATCAATCAATCCCCGTTGCATCCTTTAATCTCTGTAACAGAAAAATACAAAACTACGACAAAGTCATGGGCCAGTGAGAAAAATAATTTTCTTCTCGGCGCACAGTGACTTTTCACCATTCGCTCGTGAATTAAAAATTCACTTCTCCCCTCCTAATTGAGATTAAGGGATGAAAAAAGAG